TTGCCACAGCCGGCTGAACCTCCTTAAAACCCTTGCTCATCTTTCATGGGGAGCTGATCGTCGAACCCTCCTTCGCCTACATTCCACCCTTATCTTATCGAAACTTGATTATGGTGACCAGATCTATTCAGCGGCATCTCCGCTACTCTCTCTAGCCTTAAACCCCATTCATCACCAAGGATTACGTTTAGCCTTGGTGCTTTTTTGCTCTTTCCCTGTCGAGAGCCTCTATGCAGAAGCGAACGTTCCATCCTTATCCGATCGCCGTGATGCCCATTGCCTTCGCTACTATGTACGCTCTCATGATCTCCGCAATCCTTCCATTTATAGAATGGTCACTGATATTAGTAGACATTCTTTATTTGTTCGCCGCTCCTGTTTACTCCGTCCCTTCTCTCTTCGCCTTCATTCGCTCTTGTCTTCTCTTCAATTACCACCTTTCTATGTACATGTAGCATCTCACTTTTCCCTACCCCCCTGGGAAGTTCCAGCTGTTCGAGTCTGTTCTTTCTCTCTCCCTTGTTCGAAAGCCCAACTGTCTATGGTCGCTTCCCGCTCTCATTTTCTTGACCACTTTCACTCTCATTCTCATGCCATTGCTGTGTACACAGATGGCTCTAAGTCTTCTGACGGCGTTGGATTCGCAGCAGTGTTTCCGGACAGCGTCGTACAAGGGCATTTACTATCTTCGGCTAGTATTTTTACTGCTGAATTGTATGCCATCCTTACAGCACTTATCCGTATTGCATCTATGCCTATGTCATCATTTGTGGTTGTCTCAGACTCCCTTAGTGCTTTACAGGCTATACAGAAATTTGATACACTCAACCCCTTAGTCCTCCGTATCCAACTTTGGCTACGCCGCATCTTTACCAAGCATAAAGATATGTTTTTTGTTGGGTCCCTGGTCATGTTGACGTACAGGGCAATGAACAGGCAGACACTGCTGCGCGGTCAGCAGTACATGACCTACCAGTTTCATGTAGAGGTATTCCATTTACGACTATTTTGCTGCAATATCTTCCCAACTTCACACCTGTTGGCAACAACGTTGGTCTACTATGCTCGGCAACAAACTTCAATCTATTAAACCGAGTATAGGTTACTGGCCGTCTTCTTATCATCAGTGTCGAGGTTGGGAGACTACTCTCTCCCATCTTCGCATTGGCCATACTCGTCTTACTCATGGATATCTCATGGAGAGGCGCCCTGCTCCTCTCTGTGAGAATTGCCAAGTTCCATTATCAGTCAGCCACATTCTGTTGGACTGCCCACTTTATCAATGAGCATGCAGAATTTACCTCCGTCGTCGTCTTCGCTCTGCTGCTCTCTCTTTACCTTCCCTTCTCGCTGATGGACCCATCTTTCATCCAGACTCTCTCATTGACTTTTTGACAACAACTGACTTACTTCACAAATTCTGATACCTTCAGCCCTTTCTACTTCAATCTCTTGCTATCCCCTACCCCCATACTATCCCCTGCCCCGCTGTTTTCTGTAACCTACTGATCATCCCTCCTCCCTTCTGCCATCCAATACCCTCGCTTCCTTCCCTACCCTGCAGCGCTGTATAGCCCTTGTGGCTTAGCCCTTCTTTTTGATTATAATAATAATAATAATAGTCTCCTTCTCCAGTCTTCCTCCCTTTTTTTGAGCTCTGCTTCCCAGTCCTTCCCCCCAGATTCGTCCTTCGAGCCCCTTGTTCTCATCCTAGTTCTAGGTTCCCCCGTTGCTCCACAGAAGGAAGGGGGAGGGGTGGTTAGCGGGAGGGGAATAGATGGTTGGGGGAGAGGGGATGGATGGTTATGGGGAGGGGGAGGATGATTATTGGAGGGGGAGAGGTAGTTGGGGGAGGTGGGTTAGATGGTTTGGGGGAGGGGTTAGATGGTTTGGGGGAGGGGTAGGTGGCTAAGGTGAGGTGGTTAGGGAAGGGAAGAGGTGGTTAGGGGAGGGAGGAGTACATGCTTGAGAGAGAGAGGGGATGGATGGTTATAGGGGAGGGGGAGGGTGGTTATTGGAGGGGGGGAGGTAGTTGTGGGAGGGGGTTAGATGGTATGGGGAGGGGTTAGATGGTTTGGGGGAGGGGTAGGTGGCTAAGGTGAGGTGGTTAGGGAAGGGAAGAGGTGGTTAGGGGAGGGAGGGGTACGTGTTTGTGTCAAGTGTATATGTGCTTGTGTATGTGTGTGTGTGTGTGTGCGCATATGTGTGTGTGTGTGTGTGTGTGTGTGTGTGTGTGTGTGTGTGTGTGTGTGTGTGTGTGTGTGTGTGTTATCTCTCACAATATTGCATTGTTTTGATTGCTGTCATGCTTAATATTGTATAAACTTGTATTTAGCATAAGTGTTCAGGGATGAACTGTACAGGTGATGAGGGAAATTTTGTGTAAGGGCAAAGTAAAACTTGCAGTGTGTTTAGATAATGAAGAATTTATATTGTCTATGTATGATCCGATACTGTACACTTTTATTTATTATTATTATTTATTATTATTAAAGATTCGCCGGTATTCTCCCGGCCTGGGCCTTTTCCAAGTGGTGGCCCGGCCTTGGCTCCCGCTTTAGGGAGTATCTGAGACCTAAGTCTCCCATGGGAGGGGGTGGCCCGGTGGCCTGGTGGCTAAAGCTCCCGCTTCACACACGGAGGGCCCGGGTTCGATTCCCGGCGGGTGGAAACATTCGACACGTTTCCTTACACCTGTTGTCCTGTTCACCTAGCAGCAAATAGGTACCTGGGTGTTAGTCGACTGGTGTGGGTCGCATCCTGGGGGACAAGATTAAGGACCCCAATGGAAATAAGTTAGACAGTCCTCGATGACGCACTGACTTTCTTGGGTTATCCTGGGTGGCTAACCCTCCGGGGTTAAAAATCCGAACGAAATCTTATCTTATCTTAAGTACCTCATCATCTTTGGGACCAACTGTCCCCAGGCCTAGCCACAAACTAGGCCTCTCTGGTCTGCTATCCCCGCCTCAATGGGAATGGCAGTCTTGTGAGCTACAAGCTCTGGCTCAGGCACCTTCCCTACCCTAGAAGGGCTGGGCATGGTGTCGATCACTTTTATTTATATAATGAATTGTCTGTCTTAAACAAAATATAAAAAAAAATCGTGAGGTAGGGTGTTAATGTTAATATTTTTAAGCAAACATGCAATATTAATATTTTAAAAAGAATCGATTATTATCGATCGATTTTTCACTGATACCGATATACTAAAAATCACCGATATCCCCCGATACCGATAATTTGGGAAATCGTTGTACTGATGGTTATATTGGTGCAATAGTCTGTGGATGGGATATGAGGACGATAATAAGTGAAGGCTTTATTAAAACTCTGCTAGATGTGTATGAAGATATATAAAAATGTCTTTGTTTTTTTTTTTTATTTTGAAGCAATAATAACACTGGTCTGCATTTGGAATGTTTTGAATTTTTATTTTTATTCATGGTTGCGATCTTACATATTATTGGGCTGCTGATTGTAAATATCTAAACCATTTTGCTCTATCACGTAAGGATTTTGAATACAATACGACATCGACACCATGTCTAACCCTTCTAGGGTAGGGTAGGTGCCTGAGCCCGAGCTTACAGCTCACAAGACTGTCATTCCCATTATCCCCCTTGGGGTGGGGATGGCAGACCAGAGAAGGGACAATTGGTCCCAAAGACGAGGGGGTACTTGTGCCTCGTCCCATGGGAGACATCGGCCTCAGACACTCCCTAAAGAGGGAGCCAAGGCCGGGCCACCACTTGGAAAAAGCCCGGGCCGGGAGAATACCGGCGAATCTTTAATAATAAATAATAATACAATACGAAGACACCATGCCCAGCCCTTCTAGAGTAGGGTTGGTGCCCGAACCTGAGGTTGCTACCACCTGTACCTCACAAGACTGTCATTCCCATTAGCCCCCCCCTGGGGTGGGAAAGATGCTAGACCAGAGAGGCCTAGATTCTCCCTGCGAGCCCCGTGAGGGCGGGGAATGTGGCCAGGCCTGGGAACACTTGATCCCCATATATACACCGAAAAAGGTACCACAGAATCAATAAAAAATATTATGTAGACCAGTGCTGTGTCTCTGTGACTTATCACCGCCTCTGATTAAATTCATTATGCTGATAACGCTCTGCATGATATCGCTCATCCGAATTACGTTGTTACATACTGCTTCTTGGCGGATAATGTAGTGTAGTATGATACCGGTAACTATTTTTACAATACCTCCGCATTCTTTGACAACTAACTCGAGACCAATATAAATATTTGAGCTTCTTGTACCACCACTCAAGGAATGTGTCTTGAGTAACGTCACAGATACTTTAATTTTTGTATAGAAGAAATTCAATTAATCTATATATTAATGAGTACAGGCGGCCCACGGGCCCGTAGTTGGACCACCATAGACTGTACAAGATATATATATGGAAGGTTAATGACCATCGTGTGGTCGATAGGCTTTAAACACGATTACCCAGCAAAACTAACCAACTTTTCTTATACGCTGATACAACCCGAGTAATGAGCCGCCTATCATCAGCCGCCTAGCATCAGCCGCCTAGCATCAGCCGGCTAGATTAGGACCGAAATTATTATTTACAGTAAAACCTCCTTAAACCATTTTGTACATGTTCTCTTCAATATACGTTTCATATAAAACATTTTTTTGTGTAAAATCCATAAATATTGCAGATCGTTTTTGTGGCATGATTAACTATTTTATTATACGTATCTTATAGTTTTCTTTAAGATACCACAAATGGAAAGAAACCTTCATGTTATTCTCAGTGGTACTATGGATGGATATATTTTCTTAGCTTTCTTTTATATCTTTTGCTGATGTACTCTTGTTAACCCTTTTGGGACTTAGTTCCAAGGCCCTTTACATACATATGCTCTTGCTCTACCGTCCACAGGATGGATTTGGGGTACACAATAAACAATAAAAATAAACAATAAAAATCTATTTTTTTGTGATGCAATATTATCTAAATATTTTGCAGGAGAAATATTCCTGACGTGAAGATTAGCACTGACTGATCATGAACAACGAATATTGGTTTGACTTTGTGGCAGGATGGATTGGAGGTAAGTAACAGCAATACATTAATGTTACGTTGCAGAATCGAAATAAGACAGTTATGTTACAGGACAGCAATACAACAAGACAGAACAGTAAAGTGACAGGACACTAAAATATGAAGACAGTAACGTGTCAGGGCAGTGAAGTAAGAGGTTAGTATCGTGCCTGGACAGTTACGAGAGAAGACAGTAACATGTCAGTATAGTAAAGTAAGAAAACAGTAACTGTCAGGACAGTGAGGAGGGAAGATAGTAACTTCCCAGGGCAGTAAAGTAAGAAGACAGTTCTTAGCTTGCCACAGCCATGTATGTGTCCGCATCAGGAGTGACATGTCCAGTGCTACTGTACACCTGAAGTATGTAATATTGGTCGTTAAGTGGTTTATGGCGTCTCGGAATTTTGACGGGCTGCGAGGGTGGCGTGTTAAAGTATCGAAGGTTCGATTCCCGGCCTATGCTGTATAGGTAAAACTGGTCAATTAGCAAGAACTCATTTGAAATTAAGTCATTTCAAATTTTTTCTTTTATACGTTCAAAGATATATTTTGTTTTATTTATGCTAACGTAAAAATTAATAATTTTGTATCAAAAGAACCTTAGAAAACTTACCTAACCTTATTATAACAAGCTCAATTGAATTTAGTCTAATCCAACTAAATATATTTTAGATAAGTTTACAATAATTTAATAATAAACAAACACATGAAATTTATTTTTTTCTTTAGGTTCAGAATGATTTTTGCGAAATTATTGCATACACAAATTTTCGCTTGCCTTATTCGGCATGAAGAGCGTTGCTATTTAAGCCAAAATCGCCAATTTTGAATATTCGGCACGACATATATTTACATAAAGTATGAGAATACTTACGAGTGTGTGGAGCATTGGTTGTGAATATTTCAGAGAGGAGAAGGCTAGAGTCAGTGGAAAAGTCGTGTATGAAGACAGTGTTGAATATATATTACGTAGAAAATTCATGGTTTGGAGAATACAGGGAGGTGGGGAGATTCCAAGAGTATTGTCCATAAGCTTGAGGACGGGTTGTTGATGGTTTGGATAGAGAGATGAAACAAAAAAGATGACTTGGAGGGTGTATAAATCTATAGTGGAGGATAGGAGGGGCAGGGATCTCCCTAGGAAAGGTTGGCGGGAGGGGATAGAGGAGTTTTCCTTTGTGAGAGGCTTGGACATTCAGCAGGCTTACCTGAGCTTGTTGTATAGGACTGAGGGGAGGCAAGTATTTTTTTATGACTTGTGCTGTTGGAGTGTGAGCAGAGATTCGAGAAAACCGGTTACCCAGACTTGAGTCCTGGAAGTGGGAAGTACAGTGTCTACACTCTGAAGCAGGTGTGAGGCTATTTTTAGTTTTAAGAGGCATCTGAACTGTGGTATCTGCTCACCTCATGTAAGACAATGAGGGAGTGAGTGATGGTGAAATTGTTTCTTCATTTTCGGGTCACTCTGGCTCAATGAGAGACGGCCGAAAGTGTAGAAAAATCCAGTGAAAAATAAGGGGTTCAATAAATACATTTAGAGAACACTGTATTAATAATTTTTTGTCCAAGATGATTCAAACTGCAGCCAACAGACATCAAAAATAGTACGGCAGCAATGATTGACACATTGTAGAGGAAACTGGGCCACTACTTTCTATAAATGTTTGATCAACAAAGCTATTTTAATTATGTGTGTGCTTGGGACAGGCTATGAGTAAACAGACTAGTTACCAAACAATTCAAGAAGAAAATCAGGCCTCAGGTTGTGAAAATTTCTAGGGGTAAAGAACTCTCGAAAACTTTCACAGGAACATTATAAGAATGCATATTGTAAATTAGTAAAATAAAATCACACCAATAAATAAAATATTTATGTTAGTTTAGTTTAATTATTTATGTCGCTGATATTCATCATTAACATAAAGCATTTATTGAATACAACATACTTTTTAAAGTAAATTATTTTTATTTCTAATATTTCATTAATAGTGTAAAATTATTAACATTAAGTAAGGGAATTTAATAATAATTGTTATTCTTCTGAAATTAGGGTGTGCCGGGCTGTTAGTTGGTCAACCAATGGACACCATTAAAGTCCGACAGCAAACACTGAAGAGAATGAATTCAGTCAACTATGCAATTAGCATCTTTAAATATGAAGGAGTGAGTACATTAACAACTCTATACTCATTTTCATGCATGTGTTATTTCAGGTAAATATATTGCTATGGGTTTAGGGCACCAAACTTATATACGCAGCCTAGCTGGGATATTTCCAAATTTGACATCAACCTCAGAAATACTGTGTAAATTAACTGTCTTTAGTAGTGTCTGATTAAACCAATATCTGATCTGACAGCATGAAAAGTGAAGCAAGATAAAATCCTTCTTACAAGACCTGACACAACGAGAATTTTAGGGATGAATTCAAATGTAAATGGGAAAATCTTGATTTCATCCTATATAAGGAATCATATAGTGTTATGGTATAGGGAACCAAAGCTGAACACTTAAGCCTGCATGAGATATTTGCAATTAGGTTCAAATCTTGTCACATATGAGATATGATGTTTATATATATACATGTCTAACCGAACGGGCGAATTACGCTGAAAAAAACAAATGTTTTCTGATCAATAGTTACAGTGATTTTTTTTCCATAAAACTGCGAAAATCGATATGAAGATAACAAACAAAATATATGTCATTGATTTTAGGAATTTTTAAATTAATTTAAACTGATCTGTGATGTACATGAATGTAGCAGAATTTAGCTAAAAATATAAGCTAGTTTACGTGAGGTTTATAAATTAGGTTTGCTCGAAAAATAATTTTTTAAATCATTGTCATTGAAAAAAATGATCTATCAATCAGTAATTTTTTTTTCGAAAAGTCCAATTATTAAGGGAGTTCGCCCTATTCGGCAAGTTCCGCTTAATATATATATATTATTTCTCAGATTCGAGGATTCTATAAGGGACTGGGTTTTCCACTTCTAGCATCTGGTACTTTGAACTCCCTCTTCTTTGGTGTCTATGGCAACAGCATCAGATGGTTATCTGAGGGTAAACAGAAGCCTTCAGTTTCAGATGTACTAATAGCTGGATCTGCTGGAGGAGTTGCACAACTAGTTGTTGCATGTCCTGTGGATTTAATCAAGATTAAGATGCAAATGCAAACTG